GAACAGCCTCTCAGTTTCTGTTTTCCTTCCTCTAGAAATCCTTCTATGATGTAAGCTATGGCCCACTCCATGAAGGCTGCATGGATCAGTCTGTGTCCCTGAGTATCTCTGAAATCTCTAAAACATCCAAGCTGACCTTCAAGCAGAGCATGGTGGTAGTATCAACCAATGGGAAGGTTCTGAAGAAGAGACGGTTGAGTTTAAGCCAGTCCATCACTGATAATAACCTGGAGGCCATCGCCAACGACTCAGAGGAAGGTAAGGGGTCAAGCACAATAATATCTTTGTTTCACAGTTATAAGTAAGTAGGGACAATAGAATTTAGGGGAAAATTAAACCTGGAGTCAGAATAACAAGAAGACAACCAAGCATTAGTCTGGTAACTACATAGAAAGAAAATTAATTTTTATCCTTCTCCAGGAGGGAGAGATGAGCAGTGGCCTGAATTGAGAATACTTGCTCACAGTCATTATTTCTTGGCCATACTGTAAAGGTCATGCGACTTTTAGCCTTTCAGGAGAAAGCAGTAACAAGACCACTTACAAGCTATGTTCCTCTCATACTAACTATGCCTCCTTGGGCACGTTACATAATCTTTCGGTGATTCAGTTTCCTCCACTGTAAAATGGAAATAATCAGAATCCCCCACTCATTGGATTGTTGTAAAGATTAAGAGTCTCAGGCTTTACAGACTGAGCTAGCTGGGCCCCCCTGACTGTTATAAAGATTAAATGAGTCAACATTCCCTAACTTCTGGACTAGAATAATGTCTGGTACATAGTAAGAACCCAATAAATGTTAGCTATTATTATTATTACTATTACTACTACCTATATGAATACTACCAGCAATATTAATTTATTAATGACTGATTATGTCTAAACCTCACAAGAATCCTACTTTCTCATTTTACATAAAAGGAAACTAAGCTCATTGAGATAGGTAAACTGCCCAACGGCACACATCTGTAAGTGGGAGAGCCTCAAATCTAATACAGTTCTACCTGAGTATAAAAATCATGGTTTCTCCTCCATGCCTTTACTGTACAAGCCTCCACATGAACTAGAAACCCAGTATTCCTGTTTTTAAGATAATACCTAAGCAATAACATGTGTTTACCTAGAAGGTTTTAAAATGTAACAATATATAAGAAAATAAAAATCACTCATATTGCCAGTGAGAGTTTACTACTACCAGCGCTATGGTATGTTTCCTTAAAGTCTTTGCTATACACATACCTACATGTGAACAAATATGCCTAACATTATCAAGACCACACTATTTACAACTTTATATCCAGCTTTTCTTACTTAGCAATGTATTGAGGACATTTTAGAGTGCCCATTTTTCACCATTATAAGCAATGCAACAATGAACATCTGTATAAACATTCATTTCTCTCACCCTTTATTTCCTTAGAATATATTCCTAGAAGTAGAATTTCCCAGAGCCATGAAGATTTGTGATGCTATTGATATGTGCCACTTTGCAGAAATGTGGTGGATCTGCACTCTCAGTGACATATATAATTATTTTTAAGGCGTTCATTTTTTTCTCAGAGTGCATTCATTTGAACACATAGATAGGAAATACTGGTAGTCTTCCTGGTCAGTTAGAAACACCCACACAATGAGAAAGTTGTGCAAATAGTCTTTTTAAAAACAATGAAACTATTGCCTGAGGAATTGAAGTTTTAAAAGAAGCACATAAGTAACAACAAGGATAATCCTAGAAAACCAATTCTACTGCTGACTGGGTGATTTCACTTCTCTTTGCTTCCTCATTTGGATTAGAATATTCCTGAGATCCCCTCCAGAACTATCTTCCCTGCTTGTACTAGAGTGTGTATATCATCTGTGTTTGTACATAGACATTAATCTACACTTGTGATCATGGTTTTAGAAATCATCAAGCCCAGGTCGGCACCTTTTAGCTTCCTAAGCAATATGACATACCACTTTATAAGGATCATCAAACACGAATTCATCCTGAATGACACCCTCAATCAAACTATAATTCGAGCCAATGATCAGCACCTCACGGCTGCTGCAATACATAATCTGGATGAAGCAGGTATATTAAAATGGTACCAGACATTTCTGTCATCCTCCCCTCCTTTCATTTACTTATTTATTTATTTCAATCTTTCTGCTTGCAAAAAAACATACCTCTTCAGAGTTCTGGGTTGCACCATTCTTCTAGAATAGCTTGAAGTACAGTGCTCCCATAAAAATCCCAAGCCAGGGCAGAAGGTTCAACTAAATCTGGAAGTTGCACAAGAGAGAAGTGTCCTATATTTGAGAGTAAAGGGTTGTGCACAAAGCTTGCTGATGTACTACCTCTTTGGTTCTTTCAGACATTCTTACCCTCAATTTTAAAACTTAGAAAACTCACTGTCAGACATATTAAATGACTTACTCAGATTTACCCAGAAGCCAATGAAGAACAATCACTCTCCTTTAAAAAGTCTGTTGATGAAACTCACAAGTAACACCAAACTAGGAAGGTCTTTATTATCTCTGGTAACACATTTGTAAGGCAAAACCACCAATAAGCTACAAATATGGCTTAAAGGATGAAGTTTAGTGTCCAAAAACTTTTATCACACACATCTAATTTTCATGGCGGACATGTTTTAGTTTCAACAGTATACATATTTTCAAAGGTCCGGAGAGGCAATTTTGCAATAAACAAGCAAGACATTTTCTGATTGGATGCACTTCAGCTAACATGCTTTCAACTCTGCATTTACAAATTATTTTGTGTTCTATTTCCTACTTAATATTATTTCTGCAATTTTCCCAATATTGACATCATATGTGTATTTGCCATTTTTAATGTCACTAGATAATTCAATCATGTTGCTCTGTTGGTCCCTTGGGTTTACTCTAAATAGCTTGGTTGCAAATATCTTTGTATATATTATTGTTTTTTCTCCTATGTGGTAATCTCTTTGAGCATATCCCAAAGTGGAATGCCTAGATCAACGGGCATAATTTGACAGCTCTTATTAAACGTTATTCTGTAAGTAAAAACTGAACTACTTTTCAGTATCATTAGCAACATATGAGTGTATCAGCTTCCTAAACCCCTCCATTTTAGGTCGTTATGAACTCATGATCTAACAAATTACAGGGTCTATCCCACTAACAAAATTATAAGAGATTCAACACTTATTCAGCCCCCAAGGATTCATTCAATGTAGAAAATTCTAAGAACATTAACCAAGTATTTACCTGCTTGGTGAGTGTGGAAGACATTGTGAAGGATACAAAGATGTATAGAATTCCATTCCTGACTTCCAGGTATTGACACCATAGGTGGGGACCTAACTATACACACATACATACACACACACACACACACACACACCATGCACACACAATCTACATCAACACTTGATTTTATACAAATGCAATGAATTCACTTTATTTTTGGCTCTTCTCTTCACCAGTGAAATTTGACATGGGTGCTTATACGTCATCAAAGGATGATACTAAAGTTCCTGTGATTCTAAGAATCTCAAAAACTCAATTGTATGTGAGTGCCCAAGATGAAGACCAACCGGTGCTGCTGAAGGTCAGTTGTCCCTTTGTCTCCCACTTACCCTAATTTACATCTCATATGTTTGTAAATAAGCCCAATAGGCAGACACCTCTAACAAGGCGACACCGTCCTCTTTTCTTCCTACCACAGCCCCCACCTGCCCACCCCACTCCCATCGATTCCAGAGGATGCCTAGGCAGGATCTGGAGAAAATATAATAGAGGTGGCAAAAGTAAATAAGAAGAAAATTACCTTCTTCTTTCTTTTTCCTTTCACTGCCTGACCTTATTCACCTCCCACTCCAGGGCATCCATTTATTCCATTGATCTTTACTGACATCTATTATCTGACCTACACAATACTAGACCTTAGGGCAATATGGCCTGCCTCCAAGAAACTCAAATAAGCCAACTGAGATCAGAGAGGATTAATCACCTGCCAATGGGCACAAAGCAAAAAGTTGGGAACCAAGTCCCAAAATGGGGCCTGCTGCTTCCAGTGCCCCTCTCTCTGCATTGATGTCAGCATTATCCTTCATCCCAGCCCTATCTCCACTACCACTTCCCCCCTCAAACACATACACACACACACAATAGCCTTAGATGTTTTCTCCACTGATAAGTAGGTGACTCAATTTGTAAGTGTGTAATCCAAGACCTTCTATTCCCAACTAGAACTTATGTGCCTGCCTGTGCTTTTCTGGATCAAGTGATGCCCACAGAGTAGGGTAGCAGCTTCATTCATGAACTCATTCAACAAGCATTATTCATTGAGAGCCTTCTATTTTTCAGGCATAGTGCCAACAGCTGTGTAGACAGTGGTGCATCAAAGCCTCTAGTCTCATAGAACTTAGTCTTCTGGAGGATACGGAAAACAGACAATTCAAACAACCAACAAAAGAGCAAGACACTGCAAAAAAAAAAAATGAATAGGGTGCTAAGATAGAGAAAAGTGGGAGAGTGCTATTTAGACAAAGTGGTAAAAACAAATCCCCTTGTGAGATGAGAGCTGCCGACAGGAGGGGGTGGGTCATGGTTGTGGGTTTGGGGGTAGGACATTCAGAGAAGTGTGAACACACCCAAGCCCTACAACTTCAAGATGGTAAAGGACAGCTCCAAGGATCAGAAGAAGCACTCTTGGGGCCGGGCGCGGTGGCTCAAGCCTGTAATCCCAGCACTTTGGGAGGCCGAGACGGGCAGATCACGAGGTCAGGAGATCGAGACCATCCTGGCTAACACAATGAAACCCCGTCTCCACTAAAAATACAAAAATATTAGCCGGGCGTGGTGGCGGCGCCTGTAGTCCCAGCTACTCGGGAGGCTGAGGCAGGAGAATGGCGGGAACCCGGGAGGCAGAGCTTGCAGTGAGCCGAGATCGCGCCACTGCACTCCAGCCTGGGCGACAGAGCGAGACTCCGCCTCAAAAAAAAAAAAAAAAAAAAGAAGAAGCACTCTTGGAACTGGGGCATTTTGAGAAGGAGAAAAAATATGCAGAGACTAGAGCTTGCATTTGGATTTCATTTGAGGTACAATGAAAAGCCATTAATGGGTTTCAGACAGTGCAATGCCCTGACCTCACTTATACTTCCTAAAATAGAAAACAGATCAGAAGGAAGGCAATAGAGAAAGCAGAAAGTCCAATGAGGAGGTTTAACGGCAGTCATGGGGGTGGGGTAAGGAAAAGAAGTGGAAAGAAACAGGCAGAATTGGGTTATATTTTGGAGATAGAACCAACAGAAGGAAGAGGAGAAATATCATTTACGAGAAGGGAAAAAGTAGGAGAGGAATAGGTTTGGGAAATAAATCCTGCTGACATTGGAAACCCCAAGGAAGCCTCAAAAGTATGTTTACTTGCTTTAGATTTTAAAGAGTAGGAAAGAAGCATCTCAACTTGGAATTTGAAATCTATTTTTCCATAAAAGCATTGTTAAATTCTACTCATACTCACAAGAAAAGTACACTCTGAACAGAGTATATTGAAAGAGTTTAGTTACTGATATACTTAGGAATTTTGTGTGTGCGTGTGTGTGTGTGTGTGTGTGTTTAACCTTCAATTGTTGACTTAAATACTGAGATAAATGTCATCTAAATGCTAAATTGATCTCCCAAAGGTATCATTTGTTCATTTGGAGATCAAAATGTTGAGGGGGCTTAGAATCACCAGTGCTCAGATTTGATGCAAAATGCCTTAGGCCTATGTTGAAGGCAGGACAGAAACAATGTTTCCCTCCTACTTGCCTGGATACAGTGAGATACTAGTGTCCCCAGTAATCTTCATAACTAATTTAGATCTCTCTCTAATCAACTAAGGAAATCAACTCTCATTAATAGACTGGGCCACACATCTACTAGGCACGTAACAAATGCTTGTTGAATGAACAAATGAATGAAGAGCCTATAGCATCATGTTACAGCCATAGTCCTAAAGTGCTGTTTCTCATGAAGGCCAAATGCCAAGGGATTGAGCTTCAGTCCTTTTTCTAACATCTTGCTCTCTAACAGAATTCTCTTCTTTTCTTCATAGGAGATGCCTGAGATACCCAAAACCATCACAGGTAGTGAGACCAACTTCCTCTTCTTCTGGGAAACTCATGGCACTAAGAACTACTTCATATCAGTTGCCCATCCAAACTTGTTTATTGCCACAAAGCATGACAATTGGGTGTGCTTGGCAAAGGGGCTACCCTCTATCACTGACTTTCAGATACTGGAAAACCAGGCTTAGGTCTGGAGTCTGCTCACTTGTGCAGTGTTGACAGTTCATATGTACCATGTATATGAAAAAGCTAAATCCTTTACTGTAGTCATTTGCTGCGCGTGTACTGAGCCTTGTAATTCTAAATGAATGTTTACACTCTTTGTAAGAGAGGAGCAATGTCTAGTGGAACCAACACTAACATATAATGTTGTTTGTTATTTAAAGAACACCCTATATTTTGCATAGTACCAATCATTTTAATTATTATTCTTCATAACAATCTTAGGAGGACCAGAGCTACTGACTACGGCTACCAAAAAGACTCTACCCATATTACAGATGGGCAAATTAAGGCAAAAGAAAACTAAGAAATATGCACAATAGCAGTTGAAATAAGAAGCCACGGACCTAGTATTTCATTTCAACTGTTTGCTTCTACTTTTAAGTTGCTAATGAACTCTTACTCAAATAGCATAAGTTTCTGGGACCTCGGTTTTATCATTTTCAAAATGGAGTGAATAATACCTAAGCCTTCCTGCCACAACAGTTTTTTATGCTAATCAGGGAGGTCATTTTGGTAAAATACTTCTTGAACCTGAGCCTCAAGATGAAGGCAAAGCACGAAATGTTTTTAAATTATTATTTATATATGTATTTATAAATATATTTAAGATAATGATAACATATTATATTTATGGGAGCCCTTTCATCCTCTGAGCGTGACCAGGCATCTTCCAGAATAGCAGACAGTGCTTTCTGGGATGAGTAAGTTTGATTTCATTAATACAGGGCATTTTGGTCCAAGTTGTACTTATCCCATAGCCAGGAAACTCTGCATTCTAGTACTTGGGAGACCTGTAATTATATAATAAATGTATATTAATTACTTTGAGCTGATAATTGGTCCAATCTTTGACTCTTTTGCAATTAAACTTGCCTGGGCGTTCTTGTTTCATTCAATTCCACCTGCAATCAAGTCCAACAAGCTAAAATTAGATGAACTCAACTTTGACAACCATGAGACCACTGTTATCAAAACTTTCTTTTCTGGAATGTAATCAACGTTTCTTCTAGGTTATAAAAATTGTGATCAGACCATATGTTACATTATTATCAACAATAGTGATTGATAGATTATTATCAGTCATAACTGAATAAAGCTTGCAACAAAATTCTCTGACTCATAGTTGTTCATTGTCTTAATCATTATTTTACTGCATGGTAATTAGGAACAAAAGGTAAACGTTTACATAAATAATTGCATTTAGTGTTACTTTATAAAACCAAACCAAGATTTTATATTTTTTCTCCTCTTTGTTAGCTGCCAGTATGCATAAATGGCATTAAGAATGATAATATTTCCGAGTTCACTTAAAGCTCACATTACACAAACACAAAACATGTGTTCCTATCTTTATACAAACTTACACATATAGGGATACATTAAAAACAACTAATAGGCCAAGCACAGTGGCTCAGATCTCAATCCCAGCACTTTGGGAGGCCAAGGCAGGAGGATCATTTGAGGTCAGGAGTTCAAGACCAGCCTAGGCAACATAGTGAGACCTCATCTCTACAAAACAAAAATAAAAAATAAAAAAATTAGCTGGACACGGTAGTGAGCACCTCGTTCCAGCTACTTGGGAGGTTTGAGGTGGGAGGATCACTTGAGCCTGGGAGATGGAGGCTGCAGTGAGCTGTGTTCACACCACTGCACCCCAACCTGGGCGACAGAGTGAGACCCAGTCTCAAAAGATAGATAAATTTTTTTAAATGTTAAAAACATATAAAAGAGAATTTTAAAAGAACAACGAATAGATCCAAGCATGGATGCAAGATATATTTAGTTGGAAAATCAAGGTTAATATCAAGGGATCTTGGAAATGGGTGTGGTAGATTTGGGTAAGGGGTAGTCTAAGATGACCCTGTTTCTTGGTACTGGAGACTGGATGAGTGGCAGCGTCTTAACCACGTTTTTGGTAGAAATATGGAGGTCTTCTCCATTCCAGGACGAATGATGAGTAAAATTTTAGGCATGTACTTTGAGCTACTAGAGGACACTCAATTGCAGATGTACAATGGGGAGATGATAACGTATCTGGAACTCAGAAAAATAACTGTAGATAGATATGGAAGACATTAGTAGGTATGTAGTAGATAAAATCCTACAAGTGATGTCAAAGGGAGAAGAGAAGTATATGGTGAACACTGTTGGTTGTCCATGCAATTGCCATCTCTCCTTCTTCCTTACTGACAGAACCCTGATTTCATTGAGAAGTCAACATGCCTTTCCCCAAAGGATGAATCCAATTGATTTAAGATTATGTTCATTCTATTCTTATATGACTAAGTCATGTTGACTTAATCCTATCAAATGAGATGTCGATCTGGAAACAACTTCTGGAAAAGATTTTCTACTTGCTAAAATAAAGAGCCATATAGATGGTCCTTTATCTTCCTTCTTCCTTGAATGAGACACGTTCTATGAGGAAGTGAAGCTCGGAACTGTGGTCTCCAACTTGCAACAACTGGGAAGTCAGAGCGACACAATGAAGAATGCAGAGTGGAAGGAGAAAAACAGCCAGCATCTCTGACAACATTGTTTTTTTTTTTTTTTCTTTTTTTTTTTTTTTTGAGACGGAGTCTCGCTCTGCCACCCAGGCTGGAGTGCAGTGGCCGGATCTCAGCTCACTGCAAGCTCCGCCTCCCGGGTTCACGCCATTCTCCTGCCTCAGCCTCCGGAGTAGCTGGGACTACAGGCGCCCGCCACCGCGCCCAGCTAGTTTTTTGTATTTTTTAGTAGAGACGGGGTTTCACCGTGTTAGCCAGGATGGTCTCCATCTCCTGACCTCGTGATCCGCCCATCTCGGCCTCCCACAGTGCTGGGATTACAGGCTTGAGCCACCGCGCCCGGCCTCTGACAACATTGTTACACCGAGAACCTACCTCCAGATTTTAAGAAAACAAGAAATGCTACTGGTATTAAGCCATTTTTACTGGGTTTGCTATGAGGTGCAGTCAAATCTAGCTTAACTGATACAGAGCGCCACAGAGACCTGGTCTCTCATTTGTCTCACCCTGTTCTTTCTAGCAGCCATGACTTTCCTAGGGTTTCCTTACCCCAAGTCTGGCTAGAGCAAGACTAAGTAAGACTTGATTTCTTACTCTCCTTTGGTTTTAAGAATATTAAAGATTTTAATATTAATATATTTTAAGAAATAAGGAAATACAAAACACTGAGCAAGCAACACAAATTCAAGACATCTTAAAAAGTATAATAGCTGCTCAGTCTCTGATTAACAGTGAAACATTGAATCATTGTAGAAATGGCCTTGGAGTGTTATTCTCCCAGGCCAGCTATCCATATGGTCTGCCCCACCTCCATCATTGCCTAAACAGTAAGAGTCACCATGGTGAGACTCAACAGTCTTAGCACAGAACTTGTTAGAGTCTATTTCTTTTCTTACGGTCCTATATATCAGGTTCCAAATCAATGACAGTAAAGCCAAATCCCTGCCTTTAAACCCAAGGCACAGAGCCAAAAGCCAAAAGATATTTCCCTAACCTTCCTCCCACTGAGGAGACTCTTCTGACATTTAAAAACACCTACCCTTGAAATTTGGGGGGTGATGGAATTGTTGAGATAGTAATAATTGTTGTGGTGGATATAAAATATGCTCGTGTATCTGTATCTCTGAATGACTTATTTATAAGTTTAATGGTTATATACATTTCTGACTTTAAAAAATGAATGTATGATTATATGACAATATAACAATTTACAAAAAATTTATTATCCTACAACACCTCATTGAACTATATATAAAATAAATTATACCTCAGTAACAAGGGATTTTTTTAATTTACAAGGAAAAAAATCTTTATTCCATTTATTGCTTCGTGTATCGAGCTCTGGTCTTTTTTTTTTTTTTTTTTTTGGTACCCTCTCTCAACCCTAGGCATGAGATGTTCATTTATCCTAAATGCTCTATAGAGTAATTTACCTTTCTTATGGATATATTGTTTGCGTTTCCCTGTCATTGGCCCTCACTGGCCAAGAACACCTTTGCTCCTCCTTCTCAAAAACTTATCCCTTACCAATTTTTTTTTATCAGAGTGGCTGACAGACAAACAAAGGGTGTCATGCAACCTTATAAGCAAAGAGGCTAAGCTCTGGAGGGTAAACTGAGGTCTGGCTCAAAAGTATACGTCCCTGGGCCTCACCTCTGGAGATTCAGTCAGTTTGGGTAGAACTTGAGCATCTTAAATTCGTTAAGCTCCGAAAGTAACTCTCATGTTTATCATTGGTTAAGAAACACTGCATGAAGACAGTCCCAGATTAAGGGTGGTTTTATCATAGTGTTAATAATGGCTTCCCTTTGGGCAAGTCAATCCAGGGTGAGAAGAGATGAGAACACACAAGTTGCATCAATTCAGCAGAGGCCTTCTCACAGCCACAGGGACACCAGCAAATCTCATTTGGAAATAAGGTATTCAACAGCACAAGTACTCCCATTTTATATACTCACTTATACTTGCGTAGAAACTGAGGGGCCTGCCAAGCAGGTGCTTGCCTTTGGAGTCACTCTTCCAAAGGTCTGGAGTGCTTTGCCCAATTGAGAGGCCTATGGAATAAGAAAAACATGAGTGGATGTTCCCTGTCTTATCTTCTCAACTCTCCACACTCTAAAAAACAACTTTGGCTCCTCGCATGACAAGAGCCTTGATTTTCAGAGGAACTCTCCCTTCTCATCTCCACCAAGAAGTAGAGCTAATTTCCTTCCACAGAGCTCCTATTCACTATTTCATGGATGGTGAAGTCACTTCTTTGTCATGTGAGGAGAAACGCTGTTACTTCTTTTAAAAACAGAAAGGAGAGGGTTTACGGAGATTACAGACAGGTATTCTTGATATGAATGTATTGCATCAATTTAGAAGATTATTCAACAGATGTTTTGTACATACATATAATAAAATGCTGCAATCCCAAGGTCTCAGCCTGGGATCACTAAGAACAACTCATGCTGCAGACCTCATTACCACTTTTGATGGGATTACCTGAGTGGCATTGGCAGGTATATCTCTATTGTGGCAGTGAGTGGATTGTGGCTTAAAGTCATTAAGCATTTGGATCAGATAGATAATTCCTCTTGTTCTGATCCATATCAAGAGTTTTCTTGAAGTTGTTCTGTGTTTTTGTTTTTGTCTGTAGAGACAGGGTTTCAATATGTTGCCCAGACTGTTCTCAAACTCCCACCTTGGCCTCCCAAAGTACTGGAATTACAATTGTGAGCCCCTGCACCTGGCCTTCACCAAAGGAAGTTCTTATTACAGATTTCCTGCATATTTGCCTTCAGGAAGAGGATGCACTGGTTAGAGGTGTGAATGTCAGGTCCCTTCTGCCATTCTAACCCTGTTATAAAGTAAAATTGGCTCTCCAGCTTATCATTTAGTCTCTTTGAATCTAGAATACTGTAGAATTTGGAATCAAGACTGGATTCAAATCTCATTTACTTTGTGATTTGGGCTAGTCTCTTAATCTCTCAATGTCAGTTTCCTTACTTGTAAAAATGGAGATAGTAATGATTAACACATCAAAGGTTTGTAATATCAAATGAGATAAAATACAGAAAGAGCTTAGCACAGCACCATGGATTTAGAGTGTTTGATGCATTCATTATTTTACTTAAGAGTAGCTATTATCGTTTTTACTTAGTGAAGGTATCCCTGAGAATCTAATCCACGATCAGGATACCAATTAAATCAAGTTCCTGAATCCACACTGAGGATTGGCTCAAGCAATCCTCCCACGTGGGTGAAGGTAAATATTCTACAAACCATCAGGTAAAGTCACTTGATCAGTCAGTCAGCCATCCTTGGTGACTTCATTTTCTTTTCTGGGAGGGTGGGAGGTGTGGTTTATAGAGATGGGGTCTCTCTCTGTTTCCCAGGCTGGTCTCAAATGCCTGGCTTCAAGCAATCCTCCCACCTTGGCTTCCCAAAGTGCTGGGATTACAAGCATGAACCACCATACCCAGCCTGTATTTTGATTTTTACCATTGCATTTAGCAAAGTCTCTAGTGATATTGTGGTAGACAAGGCAGAGACAGATGGGCTATAAGAGCTAGTAGTATTATTGAATGGGCTTGTGGCTACTTATACATAGTGTGGTTACTGTATTGAAAGGATCTTTAAAAGGAGAAAGCCCTATTCATTCAAAAGACATTAATTTAGTTTCTCTTTGGTGCCAAAAACAATGAATATAGTGGCCTACCCTCAGTTTACAGACTAGCAGGGAGAAAGATAAGCATAAGCAAGCTAATCACAATCCTTGAGAAAGGGATGTTTTGTCTGAGACTGAAGGATGATTAAGAGTCAACAAAGAGACCAGCCTGGCCAACATGGTGAAACCTCGTCTCTACTAAAAATACAAAAAAAAAAAAAAAAAATTAGCTGGGCGTGGTGGCAGGTGCCTGTAATCCCAGCTACTTGGGAGGCTGAGGCACTAGAATCACTTGAACACAGGAGGTGGAAGTTGCAGTGAGCTGAGATCACACCACTGCATTCCAGCCTGGGAAATAGAGTGAAGCTCCATCTAAAAAAAAAAAAAGTAAGAAGATAACTCACCCAATTTAAAAATAGGTAAAGACTCTGAAGAGAGATATACAAATGGCCAGTAAACACATAAAAAGATGCTCAACATCATTAGTCATCAAGGAAATACAAATAAAAACCACAATGTGACACCGCTTCACACCCACTAGGATGGTTATAATTTAAAAGATGGACAATAACAAATGTTGTTGAGGATGTGAAGAAACTGGAACTTTCATACACTGCTGGTAGGAATGTAAAATGCTGCAGCTGCTTTGGGAAACAGTCTGGCAGTTCCCCAAATGGTTAAAGATAGAACTATCGTATGACACAGTAATTCCTCTCATTAGGTATATACCCATGAGTATTGAAAACATATGTCTACACAAAAACGTATACATGAAAGTTCATAGCAGCATTATTCATAATAGCCAAAAAGTGGAAAGAACCTAGATGTCCATCAACTGATGAATGGTAAATAAAATACTGTATATCTGCACAATGGAATACCCAGTCATAAAAAGGAATGAAGTACTGACACATGCTATGTGGATTAACGTTGAAAACAGTATACTAAGCGAAAGTGAAACTGACCCAGTAGTCCCATAGACTATTCTTTCGCATAAACATAGAAATTGATCCTTCTGGTCTTAAAGCTTCAAGCTTATATTTGTTTTGTTTGAGTTCCTTTCTGGGGAAAAGACCTTCAGGCCTTTCAAAAAAACTATCAAAGAACTGAAACTCACCAGATCACCACATCCAGGCAATGAGACTTAGGACCCTTCATTCATCAGGATTGCTTCCTTGCCCCTCCCTGGTTCCTGTTTTCTTATGCATTGTTACATTTCTTCCCTGCTATCTAAATCCCTGGTTTTAGGTTAGGGAGATGGATTTGAGATTAAGCTCCCATCTCCTGGGCTGCAGCACCCACTTAAAGCCTTCTTCTCTGGTAATACTTGTCATCTCAGTGATTGGCTTTCTGTGCGGTGAGCAGCAGGACCTAGACCAAACCCATGATATATTGGTAACAAAAGAAGCCCATCAGAAACCACAAATTGCATAATTTAATATATATGAAATGTCTAGAAGGCAAATCTATAGAGATGGAAAGTAGATTCGTGGTTTCTAGAGGCTGAGAGAAGGGGAGAATGGGGAGTGACTGCTAATCAGTATAGGGTTTCTTCAGGGGGTGATGAATATGTTAGAAAATTGAATTGTATGCTGTAAGTGGGAGAATTGTACGGCACGTGAATATCTCAGTAAGGCTGTTAGAGTAAAAATAATAATTAACTAAGAGAAATGAAAAAGAAAGTTTGGATTCCCAGACAGAGAGGAGTATGGAAAGGGAAAAACAATGTGTCTGGATGACAGTTAGCAAGGGGAGAGAAGTGTGGGCTAAGGCTAAGGGAGGTGGCTAAGGCTGAGGGAGTAAAAGCCCAAGCCCTCCAGGTGCTTATAGGTCATTAGCCTGAGAGCAATGGGAAACCTTTAAAGCCACCAGGATTGTCCTGGTGTGGTGGCTCACACCTGTAATCCAAACACTTTAGGAGATGGAGGCAGGTGGATTGCTTGAGCCAGGAGTTCGAGACCAGCCGGGGGCAACATGGCAAAACCCCATCTCTACAAAAAATACAAAAATTACCCCGATGGGTGGCTGAGGTGGGAGGATCACTTAAGCCAGAGAGGTGGGGGCTGCAGTGAGCTCAGATCATGCCACTGCACTCCAGCCAGGCAATGGAGCCAGACTCCTCTAAAAAATATATAAAAATAAAAAATAAAATAAAAAATAAAAAACACCAGGATCATGGAGAGCTACAGTGGATACTCTGATGAATGAGTTGAGAATTTTATTTATTTATTTATTTATTTGGAGACAGGGTCTTGCTCTGCCTCCCACGCTGGAGTGCAGTGGCATGACCATAGTTCACTGCAGCCTTGAACTTTTAGGCTCAAGTGATCCTCCCACCTCAGCCTCCTGAGTAGAAGGGACTTCAGGTGTGTGCCACCATGCCTGGTTAATTTTTGTATTTTTCTTTTTTAGAAATGGGGTCTTGCTATGTTGCCCAGTCTGGTCTCAAACTCCTGGGCTCAAGCAATCCTCCTGCCTCAGCTTCACAAAGTGCTGGGATTGATTACAGGCATGAGTCACCACCATGCTTGGTAGAGTTGAGAATTTTTAAACCTGCCTAGCTATTTTCCCACATTTTGTGTCCTACAAGATAGACCTTCAAATACCCAAAGGATGGAGAAAAGGAGGCAGAACTGGCCTATGTTACTCCAAAGGACTAGGACCAATGAGCAAGGAAGCTCATTTGAGTTCATTTTAAGTTTCCTAATAAGCAGGGGTCTCCAATAACAGGACAGGTAAGGCAGCTCACCAACACCAGCAGTATTCCTGCAAAGGTGCAGTACCTACATGGAGTCCGTGGAATACTCCAGCACTGGGTGGGAGATTAGGCAAGGTGACTTCTAAAACTGAGATGCATTCAATCACCTAGATTCTACAAAGACCAAAACAGAACCGTCTTCACTTTTCTGAAACTCGGTGAAAGAGTCCCTTTCTCAGTCATTAACAGAAACAATGATCGGGTTTCCTATTTCAAACATTTTATACACTATTGAAAATATCAAAATGCATGAATCCAGAAACCCTGGCTCTCCTCCAAACTCCCTATTTAGGGCTAAAGAGAAGGGCTGCTGCGTGGCCGCAGCTCACCCAACTGGTGAGCTGAACCTGGCCAACAGGTACCCACGTACGACTGCCCCTCTGTCCACCACCTCTCCAGCATCCATGAAAGACGCACCTTGACACACAAGGAGCCAAAAGCATTTTCCAGCCCTCTTCAAGAAACTGGAGAATAGATGAAACAGGACAAACTTCAAAAGAAAAAAAAAAATTAGGATTAAAACAAGGGGAATGAAGCGTGCCTAGGGACTCAGGGCAACTAGGCCTCCCATCCACCGTCCCTTTCTCCGTTAGCCTTATGGCCTTCTAGTCAGCTGATGAGGCGAAATCGAAAATATACCTTGAACAAGAGATCATCCTGAGAGGAGTAAGGCAGTTTCTCAAAAAATTTAAAATAGAATTGCCATTTGATCCAATACCACTTCTTGGTATACACCCAAAAGAATGAAAAGGAGAGTCTCAAAGAATTATTTGTACATTCATGTTCATATCATTATTCACAATAGCCACAAAGTGGAAGCAACTCAGGCGTCCGGAGAGGGACGGACCAAGAAGCAAAATGTGGCATGTCCACACAACGGAATGCTATTCCCCCTTAAAAGGAAATTCCGACACATGCTACACATGCATGAACCTTGAAAACTTTATGCTAAGTGAAACAAGTCAGCCACAGAACAAATACTGCATGATTCTACTTACCTGGCACCTACAGTTGTCAAATCCACAGAGACAGAAACTAGAACGGTGATTGCCTGGGGCTGGAGGAGGGAGGAGGGCGGAGTAAGTGATGGGGACAGGGTTTCAGTTGGGGAAGACGAAAAAGTTCTGGAAAGGACAGTAGTGATGGTTGTCCCACAATGTGAAGGTACTTAATACCACTGAACTGCACATTTTTGGAAAATGTAACACTTTAAAATGGTTAAAATGGTATATATGATGTTATGTATATTTTACCTCAATTAAAGGAGCCACCCTGCAGTACTAAAATTAGGAGCCTTTAGATGCATAAGACCCACATGTCCTCTTTATAATACTATTTTTTCATAGCTTCCTGTGAGTCTGAGACTCTGAGACGAAGGAATCCCAGCAGCCTGGGAAGACCGCCCTGCCTCTCCGCTCAGGGACTCCCGGAGCGCCAACCCCAGCTGGATGCAACGTAACCGCCCCCCTAACCGCCAGCCTGGCTGAGATCCCTAGGAGGGCCCCACGCCCACTCAGAGGCGGACTCAGAGGCGGGCGGTGCCGCGCCCCGAGGAAGCCGCCCTCAATGCCGAGATGCACTGCACGTTCTTCCAATCAAAGGAACCCAAGTCAGGCTCTCAAGGCCAGAGCCAACCGCAAAGAGGCTATTGCCTGTTGTCCCGCCCTCCCGTGATGACGACTAGCGAGTTTCAAACCCGCAGGAGCCAATGAGGACGCGCGGAGGCGCGGCACGCCGGTCTTGGCTACGGGCGCGGCATTTGAAGAAAAACTGTCACTGAAGAGTCATGGTGGGGCCCGGGCCTACCGCCGCTGCAGCTGTAGGTGAGTATGACCGCGAATGAGTCCTCGTTATTCTCGGGCGTTGGAACATGGCCAGGGTAGTAGGAGGCCACCGAGTGAGTTCTTCCCGCGGAAGGTGCCCGTCCGCTCGCCTGCCTAAGTTTCCCTCGGGCGTTTTCCATCCCGGAAGCGCATACGAGACCCCCGGCCACGGCCCCCAGGTAGACGTCTGGGCCCGGGGCGGCGGAGGCTGTGCGCAGGCCGAGATACCTCACGGGCACCTTTCTAGAAAGCCCTGCAGCAGCCTTGCAAAGACATGTCATTGTCGCAACGTTCTGGATAAAGAAACAGGCCCCTTGGTCGGGCCTTCACCAGCAGCGGGAAGCAGCGCGCTGTTTTGATCCACATTTGGCTCCAGGCAGAGCCGGGTATGGTCCTCTGTGCCAGGAGGCGGGGTCTGGCTTGAGCCCGGGTCTCCTGCCTTGGGTGGAGCTCTCACTCCACACCTCTCAGCCTGCCGTGGCTAGAAGTTGATGGGTTAAATCTGCACCCAGGGCTAAGGCTTCTGTGATCCCTAATCTCTTAGATGTGCTTGGAGCCCTTTCCTACCTTTCAAAATACTCCTGCACATATGCCACGTTCTCCAAGATACGCACCGTTGTTTTGTTTCTTCCATTATTTCTGTTGATGCCTACGAGGTCCTAGGCACTTTACATAACAAGCTTTAAAGATGGGCATTTCTGTCTGCCTTATAGGCTCAGCAGCAGCAAAGTTTGCTAATTTGCTAGAAGTCACGGAGGTGGGACTCCCAACCCCCTATGTCAGCCCCTACGCTCTACACTGCCTGGCAAACTGTCTCTAAGGATACAGTGAGCATCAGCAAAACAGGGCAACTCCGTTGAGATGAGGTTAAGAGTCGTTTGGCACCCCTGTCGTCTTTTTTTCTTCCATCACGTCATTGTTTTAATTTTAACCTTTTTCCAACCACCTACTCCCCTCATTTATGCCCCACCTCTGAACTCGCATACTTCTTTTTCTCTCTTATGGCCCTTAGATTTTACCTTATACTGTAATTATTGCTGTGCTTATTTTATCTCCACTGCTAGTTTGAAAGTTGTTGAAGGCAGAAATCATTGACTTGTCATCCCCTCACAAATGGCTTGTGTAGAAAGTCACCATAGTATAGATGTCTGCCATGAGCAGACCTGGCATATTTTATCCTTAATACCAACAAAGGAAGCCATATAAGGGTTTGTGGGTAAAAGTCATCATCCCTGTTAAAAGACATCAGACCAGGCCTGGCTCACCAGCTCAGGTGGGCCAGTAACAGAAGTTCTTCAAAACATAGACTGTTATAGCTGTGAACAGTGGCTGTGAGCTCCAGGGTTAGATAAGCCTGTTTTCAAGTCCTGGAATTGCCACATATTAGCTGGGTAACTTTGGGCGTGACATTTACCCTCTCTGGATTTCAGATTGCAAAAACTCATTGGATTGTTTTGTGGATTGAAAGAAATAATATAAATTTAGGCCGAGTGCTTTGACTCACGCCTGTAATCCTAGCACTTTGGGAGGCCAAAGCAGGAGGATCACTTGAGCTCAGGAATTTGACGCCACCCCTGGCAATATAGTGAGATCCTGTCTTTACAAAAAAAGATTTTTAAAATTACCCAGCGTGGTGGTACACACCTGTATTCCCAGCTGCTCAGGAGACTGAGGTGGGAGGATTGCTAGAACCTGGGAGATCAAGGCAACAGTGACCTGTGGTTGTGCCACTGTACTCCAGCCTCAGTGACAGAGGAAGACCCTGTCTCAAAAAAAAAAAAAAAGTAAGTTTAAAGAGCTTAGTGTAGGCCTGGCATATAAATGATATTGTTGATGTTGATATTAACTTGAAGGCAAATTTATAGGACTAGGGATTTTGTAACATTATGTCGCAAAGCCAAAATCACTAGAGAAAAGTGTCATCTTTTAGAATATTAATGAACTGGTTAAAATCTTGAACTGAAGTTATGTCGTTTGTTTGCTTGCCTGTGTTGCAGAAGAGCGACAGAGAAAACTTCAGGAGTACCTTGCAGCCAAGGGAAAACTGAGGAGCCAAAACACCAAGTGAGTTTATCTGTCCACAGTTATGCAAGTTTTGTTGCCTTCTTTGTACTAGCAATTTAAAGCCTTTTTGAAACATGTCCCTTTTGCTTAGAGTCTACTCAGACTGCATTGGGATTCTATGATAACGCAAAAAGAGCATTTCAGTCCAGGCATGACCAAACCCCCTGGGCAGTGCTTAGTCCATTGGCAAAGCTTTATGCGTTGTTACTGTGTGAATCTCCAAAGGAAGGAGGGAAGGGTCAGTATTACCTATCATGCTGGAAGCTTTGGCAGTTTCTGCGTTTTTTTTCTTGGGGAAGTTGATTCTCATGAAGGCAGTTTTTGGTCAAGAACTTGAATGAAAAAAAGAAAAAAAGAACTCGAATGACCATGCTTCTGGCATTTCTTGCTAAGGCAGGAGAGCCAGTTACAATCAATCCTCCATAGCAGAGTGATATCCTCCAGCCTAGTGGTGCTCTCGGGTCATTCTCTTAGCATTTACTGTTGAGATAGACAGAACATAACCACTTCATTTTTATCCTTTGTAGATTCTTACCATCTTTGTGGTGTTATATGTCCTTCTTTCTTAGCACTAATTAATTTTTTCCCCATTTGAGTTGCTAAATATTTTTTTGAAAATTAATTTTTACAAAGTTAGCTTTCACCCTTTATTTTATCTTGGGTGTTTACTCACCTCTATTTCCTTGATTAAATGAACCTAATTCATTTATTCAACAAATATTTATTTAGTACCTACCATGTCTCAGTTACTTCTGATGCTAGAGATACGGTGCTTAACAAGACAGACATTCCTGCCCTCCCAGGGCTTATGTTCTAGATGGGAGAGGCAAACATCAAACAAGTCATAATCAAAGTCCTTGTTAGTCTAACAGTTGTTTTTGGTCCATGCAGATTGATTCCTTCTAAATTCTCTGTTTTCCTATCCTTTTTCTGCATTTCCTATCTCACTAGCTAGATTTCATGTGTGTCTTGCTTTTTTTTTTCTTTTTGGTATCACTTTTCCCCTTGAAAATTAGAAAAGATAGTATTTGAAGATACTTAAAACAAGGAAATTTTTTTTTTTTTTGAGATGGAGTCTCGCTCTGTCGCCCAGGCTGGAGTATAGTGGCGCAACCTCGGCTCACTGCAAGCTCCGCCTCCCGGGTTCACGCCATTCTCCTGCCTCAGCCTCCTGAGTAGCTGGGGACTACAGGTGTGCGCCAACATGCCCAGCTAATTTTTTTTGTATTTTTAGTAGAGATGGGGTTTCACTGTGTTAGCCAGGATGGTCTCTATCTCCTGATCTCGTGATCCGCCTACCTTGGCCTCTCGAAGTGCTGGGATTACAGGCGTGAGCCACCATGCCCAGCTGGAAATTTTTTAAAGAAGCAGTTAATGGTTTCATTTGGCATTGTATCTTCAGTGTCTGGCACATTGCAGTGCTCCAGGAATGAAGTTTGAATGAGTAAGACTATACAAATATGAAGGAAACACATATATCTCATTAATATTGTGAGAACGCTAGATTTGTGCATAGACAGTCTCTGTAAGGATCATAAGGCAAAAAAAAAGTAGGAGCAGTTGGTGATCTCCAAGGGGGAGGATACAGAACTAAAGAAATGATGATAAGGAGACTTTATTGAATCTAATTTTGAATTATTTTGCCATTACAGAAATTCTAATTATTTAAAATTCTAATCATAATTTTTAATCACTGTACTTCCCAAGCTTAGCTTGGCATCCTTCTGTGCTGAGGATTAATTTTAATTTGTCTTTTATAGGCCTTATCTGAAATCCAAGAATAATTGCCTGAATCCACCACCTTCTAAATCTGTAAGTAGAAATTAGTCTTTTTAAAAATATGCATTCATAGGTATGATTAGTAATAAAAATAATAAAGATGTTAGCAACCTAAAGAACATGTATTTCAAAGATATTTCTTTTAGATATAAAAACAGTTTGGTTTAATAAGAGACGATCATTTTTTGAAAAGTATGACATACTACAGTTTAGTTTTATTAACCAAAAAAAGTCTCAAGTGAACTTTAGTCCTCTTGATAGCTAACATTTATTGAATACTTACTGTGTGCCTGATACTTTTCTGACTTGCGTTACCTCACTGAGTCCTCACAATCTTATGAGGCTGCTATTAGTGGCCCCACTTTACAGATGAGCAAACTAAGTTACAGAAAGGTTAAATAGGTCGCATAGCTATTAAGTGACAAAGCTGAGAGCCTGTGATCTTAACCACTTTGGTATGCTGCCATGAAGTTAAATAGCTCAGTAGTCATTAAAAGAACATTTGCATTGAACCTTCCGAGCCACTTAAGTATATGCTTCCTAATCAATTTAATTTAGCTACATTAGATAG